CTTAAAAAAAAAAAAAAAAAAAAAGATAAAAGTCAATTTTCTATTGTACTTAGCAAAATTTAGGTTAAAAACAGGCAACTCAACTACAAATTAGATTGTCCTAAAGAACAAAAAATGAAACAACTTTTTTTTGCGGGGGCTTCAGAGTGTACTTCGGCAGGTACCCTGAAACTTTCTGTGCTTCTTATAAGACAATCAGAAAGGTCGTTTTCACAAACAATTCAAGGAATTCATCAATTTTCTAAGAGCCTTTCGTAATCTTTTCCATATCCAATCCTTTGTCAATATTCCTCACTCCTTCCTCCGCCGCCGCCTTCACCTCTCTGATCTCTTTTCTCAGATGCTCACTCTTCCATGTGTACACCACGCATCCTCCAACGTCACCGCTACTGCTGCAGGAAGGGCTGGGCCTCCTGCAGGACCGCAGGTCCACTCTGACTGACCAACACCGAATTTCCCTTTGCGAGGTGCCGCCGGGTCTCCAGGAGTCGGCCAGAGCTATGGGGAGGGCACGGACCTTACCAGGGAACGACGTAGAGAGGCTGACTTTAAAGGCAGCCGACTCACTAGTGAACGGGACATTGCAGGCAGCACTGTAACTCCAGGGGCTCGGCCGGCCAAGTGCCCTGTGACAGCGCCTGCAGCACCTGCACCCTCAGCCAAGGAGTAGCCCCTCTGAAATCAAAGAGCTGGAAAGTAAGCCCCAGGTGCCAGGCTGGCTGGTACAACAGATGCCTTGTGTGCCATATACAGAGCTGTGCAACTCCACAAGGGCCATGCCAAGATGCTACAGCTTTGAGGCCTTAGAAAGCTCTGTGATCCTTGAGCCTCAATTTCTCTGTCTATAAAATGGGAAAATGGGAGTAGTTATGCATCAGTTAGGTACAAAGTCCCTTGCCATGCAGTGATTGTTAACGAAAGGGAACTGCTCATCGCTCCCTTTGGGGCTGTGGTGGGGCCTGCACCCAGTTCAACGACGGGGACCAGGCTGACTGTCCTGGTTCCCTCTCTCCTTCAGGCCCAGCCCCAGCAGGGTCACCCAAAATGCCTTGTACTGAGACCTGCGCTCCTACCACACCTGTGTATGTGCTGCCGAAGCGAGCACACCTTCCACACCTGTATCTGGTTCTACCCAGACCTCTACACTTGTCTGTGACAGTGCACTCAGGGAGGCCCAAGTCGCTGGTGCACTGACCGCCCCCACCTTCCCTTCACTGCTACCTGTCTCCCACCATGACAGAGCAGCCATGTCAATGATATTTACCACCTGTCTCTCCAGAGATCATTTGATGTTTTTACCCTGGTAAAGCGATGCATTGTGGGAGACTGCACAGCTTGAGGCCTGAGGTTGCTACTGCGGCGGCCGAGATGCACCCACACCCAGGGAAGCCCAGCAGGTGCATCCTCTCCACACCACTGCTCACCAGTGGGATGGCCAGCCTGGCCCGCCAGGACACAGTGCTGACCGGGGTTCACCCCTGTCCTCATGGGGCTCATGCTTAAGCGGTGTACCAGGGACCTCCAAGCCCCACCGTCCTGGGGGCCACCCTCCTTGGAGAAACTCCAGCCGGACCCCACAGGAGCATGGGAAGCCCTGCCCTGCACCCCCACCCTCACCCCCAGCTGGGCCACATCCTGAGCAGGGGTCACCCAGGAGAATCAGCCCATCTCACAAAGGCGCAAAACCTGACGACACCACTATCAAAAAGCTGCACCCAGCTCTTCCCACACTAGGAGAAGAAAAGTGCTTTTTGGGAAAATTGCCAAATAAGGATAAATGTTTTTCCATACAATTAGAAGAACTTTTTTTCGTTAAGACAGCACACTGGATGTCTTCCTCCTGAGTTGCACAGGTGAAGATTCAAACACTCCTTCTTATAAACTAAATGGTCCCTTCCTTCCCGAAATGCGTGTACTGAACTCCTATGTCCTGGGAAGTGACGAGGCCCTCGAGAATGGATCAGGGACCTTACGAAAAGGACTTCCTAGCACTTCCAGCTCCCTTTCTCCCTCTGAGGACGTCAGGAAGTCTGTAACCTGGAGGAGGGCCCTGCTAGCCCAAGACCACCCTGGTACTCAGACTTCCAGCCTTCAGAAATGTAAGAAAATAATTTCAATAGCTTAGGAGCCAGCCAGGCTATATTTTTTGAGACGGAACTACAGAGCCCAGAAAGGTCCACTGGTCATAGAGAAGCCACTGTGACAAGCAGATGTGGGGTCTGCCCTTCCCACCTAAAATAAGACCCGTTCCTAGGTACCACCGTGTGCCCTGCAAACTGGGCAGTGACTCATGGAACTCACCCTACCCTTCAGCCCCTGGCCAGACCCTTCCAAGGTACGTGGTGACGCCATCTTTCACCTTCTATCCTCAGGAAGCCTGTGGTGGCCGGGGAGGCCCCGGGCAGGCGGCCAACCTTCACCAGAACTTTCACCCTGCAATTTGCCTCCTGGCCTAAGCTCACTGCTAGGCCACTTCTGTATCATAGGTCACACTTAATGAGCAGAGGCCTTGCTGATTTTAATGATCTGATAAAGAACGCTTAGCCTTGGACCAAAACAGCATGTGTACCACCTTATTAACCACACAGACTGGCAGGGCTCGAAGCAAAAGCACTGCGTGCTGTCATCACCCAATGAAGTGTCCAGATCCTGCCTACACTTGGGCTCCACCAGCTACAAGTCAGGACCTTCCATGCTGGCCACAGGAGGAGGCCAGTGTGGTTGACACTCAGTGCTCTTGTGTCAGCCTCCTGAAAGCAACAGACTTGCTTTATAACAATGTGCTTCAAATGTGTGCCTCTGTCGGAGCAAGAAGTCTTGACTTTGTACCTTAACCGAATATATGGATGTGAACCCAATTAACCCAGACATTGTTAAGGGCTAATAGCTCATCTCGCGGGAAGCGCTTGCCTGCCTGCTTGCCCTCCTTCCTTGCTTCCAAGTACACAGGGTCAGCATTTCTAAAGTGCCCTCTACCCAGAAAGGGTCAGCAGCCCCACATCTGGGCAGAGCGGCTGGCATCCAAAGCAGCTGCCTCCTAGCAAACACTCTGCCCATGTCCTGGTTGGTAGCAGTTCTGAGCACACAGGAGAGCCAGGGCCAAAGTGGGGACTGTGTGTGGATGGGCGGGGCACTTTCCTGGGCTCTTTCGCAACGCAACTAACTCATCTCTCCTTAGTCTGGTACGTAGAGCACCTCACAGAATGTTGAACAGGGAAGAGAAGGGGCTCGTGGCCGCTCTGCTACCTCAGGGCCATCCTGGGGTCCAATGGAGCAGGCTGATCACAGCTCTAGGACAGGCAGGGGAGGAGTTAGGCTTGGACTGTGACATGGTGAAGGCAGCCTGGGCCAGGTCTGATTCCTCGGAGTGCAATGAGGAAGTTGGGTCGGACCAGTGCTCTGAGGCCTGGCTGCATATCAGCACAATGGGGACAGAAGTGATCCTAGCCAGCCCCCAGGAAACACCTTGTCTCCTGCATCCGGCAAGGAGAATCTTACAAGATTTAAGAACCAAAAGAAAGGAAACTCGCTGTCTACGGTAGAGAACTGAGACTAGGGAATGGCCAGGTATAAGCCGATGGAGGAAGTCTAGAATAGTCGCTTGCTATGTAAAGAATCAGGTGATAAACACCTAGCTCTGTTTCTCTGGGAGCAAAGCATCAGTTTGGAGAGCAGGAAGGGACCTGGGGGTACACTGGGCCCAGCCATCTCTCAGCTCAGGAAAAGTCAGTTTCCCAGCTGTGAGTGGGGCATGGCTGTCTCTCACAGGTGTGGGAAGCAGGAGTGCCAGAGACCTCGACCACACAGGTGACAGACAAGCTGAGGTCATGATGACTTCACATCTGTTCAATCAGTTGGTATGATGACAAAAAACCCACAGTAAAAATAAATTTTGAGTGTAGTCTCGAG